AATATGTACAAAACAAATCATGCCCAGTAAACCATTATATAAAATTACTTATTATAGTACAACTCTCTCAATGCAATCTGCAGAGCAGAGTAGACACCTGGGGAAAAATGGGGAGGGGGAATTGTGGGATTTGAGGGATGAGAAAGGCTTACTTCCAAATTACTTTTTTTTTTTTCCCTCAGCTTGTGTGGTTAAAAATCACGGAGGAAACCTCACCTGCAGCTGGGACAATGCAGGCATTACTGCCCAGGTGCTTGTCAGGACTGCGGTCACTTTGGCAGAATTCCTGTAGTCGGGCAGAACCAGCCACAGGTGACGGCGATGGCGTGCGCAGACGCAAGCGCCGCTGCTCACCGAGCCACGCGGGAGCACTGCTCACTGCTCTGTGCTTCAAAGGCCGGGTTCTATTGATCGGGCAGTGAGCCCTGAGCTCACTTCTGCTACTGGAACCTGATATGCTAATATGACCAGAAACAAGGACAAAAAGATAACGCAGCCAGCCCTGTGATTTGAATCCATAAGATAATGTGGGTTGCACTCCGAGCTATAGCCTTGGAAATAAAATTTTTAGCGTGGTCCATGTTGCAAATTACTGTCACGCTACCCTTTTCTGCGTCTCTCAGAAACGTCTGTGGGATAGGAGGGGGTCTGAGTAGCTCAAAAAACATTAAGAGGCTAGATAAGCTTTTAACTCCAGGACATAAATTAGGTCAGGCCCTTTTCTGTGATGACCTGGAATCATTACTGCCTTCAGCTGCTCACTGGTGTCTGTGAAGTGATTTGATGGGTCCAGGGTCACAAATCCATTTCCTAACTGACATATGTCCAAGCCGTCACTGCCGCTGGTTCTTCTGTCTTGCTCATACTCAGCACTGAGCTGCCCTTCTCACTCCTACAGGACATCCCTGCAAGACAGGACTGAAAACCTTGTTGGAACCTTTTTGATACTGCCCTATGGCCGCTCCAGTCTGGCAAGCAAATAAGGTACCACAGAGTGCAAAAATATCCGCCTAAGGTGCTCCCTGCTTACTCCAATATGCTGGGGGTGAAGGGAGAAATTCAGGCAAGCTAAAAGTCCACCTGCATCCTTTGCTGAGACCTTTTCCTCAGTGACTCTGTAGCTGAGCTGGGAATTCTGCCCTGGAGCATCCCCCTCCTCTTTGGCAGCAGTCAGTGCGGTGCACGGTAGCACGGGTGAAGGCTCATTGTCATTACCTGGGGACCGGCCAACCTGCTGTCCAAAATGTGTCCTCACGCTGATGTTACTGGCTGTATAAATGCACAGAAATACCTTGCACAGTCCCAGCTATTGTAAAGGGGTGGCCCAGGGCATGCCCTAGGAAGCAGAGCAGAAAGAGTGCAGGGACTGACAAGCCTCAAAGTGTCACAGGGCCCATTAGGAACTGAATTCAAGGGAACTATCTCAGCAACTGCCTTGCTTCACCTCAACTCACCCATCCTGACCTGGATCATGAAGCAGCAATGTGAAGAAACACCCCATGTAGTGAAGAAAGTCTCAGTATATCTGGAAGTCTCAGGAAAAACATATTGGAAGAAAGGGGCAGGTCTTTAACAAGGATGTACTGTCTGGCTGCTACTTCCACCGGAGTGCCTTAAAACCACTATTCTCCATTCATTTTGGAACTACACATACATTTTTCATGTTATTGCAGCATCAAATAATCAGTCCTAAAAAAAAGAGAAATGGTACCACTTCAAACCGTAGTACATATAAAATCACAGTAAACTACATTCACGTTATGTTAAAAAAGTTCCCTTAAACCCACTAAAGGAAGAAAATAGTGCCAAGTATGTCCTTCAGCCTGTGCTCTGGCACCAAGCACTTCTTAAAATAAATTAAAGCACTGCTGACAGCCTTAAACAGCAGCCAAGGTGAGTGATGGCTTTTGGATCACCTCTCTGCATTTCCTAAATTCGTATTTAGAATTCAAAGTGACCTAAACTTACACCTTAGAGTACCTCTACAGTGAGCAAATTTGTTATTCCCAATGTACAGGTGGAGAAACTGAGGAACTTGCCAGGAGCAGAATTTGAATGTAGAAATTTCTGCCTCAGTGCTGGGGTCAGACCTCCTTTTATGGATTGAAGTGAAACTGTTAACAAGACTCTAGTTTCATTTCATTTGCTTGTTAGTGTAGTATATTTCAAAGAAAATATTGGAAGAAGGTCTTCTACTGACGTACTTCTAGGGTCAGAGGCTCCCCCTGATTCACAGTGCCCTGCAGATAGATCCATTAAGATCCAGCTGGTTACTTAAGAGCCCGTGATACAGAAACAACCCGGGCACGCAGGGCCAAACTCCATTATCAGTCTTGGTTGTACCCGGTCCCACTGTGTGCCACCCTCTGGCAGATGGGAGCAGAGCGTGGCCTTCCGTGCAGACGTGTTCCCGGCAGCAGCACGTGCGGCCCTGCCCGCGTGTTCATGCCCTCCTCCGGAGCCGCTGCCACGGGCGCTGTGAACACGGATTAGCTGCAGGAACCATTTCGGCATTATGGATCCGTAACACAGAACACACAGGGAAAAGCCTGTGGGTAAGGTTGGAAACTGCATATAAAACAGTTGTTTTTTATATCCTGTGTATTGGTTTTCTGGGTAAACAGCCCGTAAAATTGCATTTTTTAAATATAAATGTTTTTGTTAGTTACAGCAGCTCGTAAGAGCGCTGGGAACTAACAAACACTGCTCCTCCCCACGCTGGAAGTCAGAGATGAACAAACAGATTTGTAATACCCTCTGCCCCCCACCAACATCTGAAAATTGCTCCATTTTGCTTCCCAATTTTTTAAGCTCGGAGCAAATGCTTGTGGCCAAGTCGCACATCCCTGAAAACGGGCCAGTTTTTGACAGAAACACTGATGGACCCTTTAGGACAGGATGACCATCAGCAGCAAATGCTGGTAACAACCTAATGCATGCGACCAGCATCTCGCCGTGCTTGGAGATGAGCTCGTGCTTGTGCACTTTGTGGCACCAGGTCTGGTCCAAATCCAGCTGAAACCAGTGGGAAACACATCTCCTGACTTCAGTGGGCTTTGGATCCGAGCTGCATCAGGGTTGTTTTTTAACTTACTGGACTGTGTGTATTTTCAGATCTGAAGTTTTCTGCCATCTTCACCCTTTTGGAGAGCATCTCCAAATGCAAGGTGTGCCCCTGGGATGTGTATAGAGGAAGCAGCCAGCTCTTTTGCTAAACTTGGGTCTCAGTTTGCAGCTGCTGGAAACAGTGTAGAGAGGAAGAGAGAGAATTAAAACACAGAACAAGCAGCACTTGAGCAGATTTGTGTGATGAGAAAGAGGCTCTACAGAAATGACTGCTGGAGCTGAATGTATCATCTCTGCCTCTCGTCCTGCGACTTCAATGCCATTTTTGATCTACAGTTAACACGGCCTTTGAAAATCAATTCATATTCCATTTGATTCATACTTTACCCTAAACAATAGCTGGATCGGGCCTTAGAAGCTGAGTAGGAATGGGGAGAGACACGAAGCAGGCAAACTGCTTTGTTTCCATGCTTCCAGCTGGACAAAGAACTGCTTGCAACAGCACGAAAATAAGCTGTGCTTTAATTTGGTGAGTGGGAAGAGGAGTTAGAGAAGGCCTTGCTGTTCTGTGCCTCAAAAGTCAGTAAACAGAACCTGTCACCACACTGGAGGATTAAAATTATTTGAGTCCCTAAAAATGGCATTAAAAAGGAGAGGTCTGCTGTGAAAGTGATCTGAGACTAAGAAAGCATTTTCCATGATTCCCTTCTCCAGTTTTATGAACTCAGCTTGTTCATCTAGAGTAAGAGCTGCAGAACAGGCATGCTGCCGAAAGACAACGATCACAGTCTCATGATTTATTCAGACCCATAGGCAGAAATTTTTACAGCTCTGGAATAGAGCCCCATCCTGTTTCCACTGAAATCAGTTCTGCTGACTTCACTGGAACTAGGCTGATACCCATTATTTCTGATAAGAACGAGTAAAACTTACTTTAAAAATGCAGATATGGGTACATACATATGTTTGTTGTAGTTATGTATTTTATATAGCAATGAACAAAACAGAACCACCCCTTCATCATGTTGCTGTTGCTGACTGAGCAGTTGCAGGGTCTTCCTGGAATTGGTCCTGCAAGTGTATGAGGGACTAGTGCTACTTATCTTGCTCTCCCTTTTTGAATATGTGGGTTAGGGTTTGCATGTCGTGTTAACGCATTATACTGATGAAGGCAGGAGCTGCAGCTGTGCGGGGTGATGAATGGCACGGCTGAGCCTGTGCGGAGTCGGGTTGGCTTCTACTTGTTTGGGGACCTGCCTTTGAAACAGATCTGCAGAGTTTGGTGCCTGAATTCCCGATTATTTTTATGGTGAAGTTGCATATGTATATGTGATACCAGTGCAGTGTATCAAAACCACTGTGCTAAGTGCATCTCCCAGGCCACAGTCAATTTGCTTTAATGTTTCTTATCCTCTGATGTTTTTCTTCTTTTATTTTTATGATGCTCTATTTTTCTGGCAGTGGCTGCCAGCTGAAACTGAGCAACTAGCTTGTGCTTAGATCACAGCCTGACAGGATAGCACATCTTCAACTTAGTCACTGTCACCATTTACATACAAACAGTACAACTTCCATCCCATCTCCAAAAATATCCACAGAATAAAACCTCCCTTTTTCTTTTTTTTTAATTATGCATTTTCATATCATTATGCTCAGGGGATAAACAGATTAAAAAAAAAAAGAATCCTACTTCTGTCACTTATGTCTGAATCGGGAGGATAAGAAATGTTCTTTTGTATTTGGCCTTAAGAGTGGGTAACTGTGCATTTTTTTACTTCTGCATTATAATGTTGACCCTTTTCTATTTTTATGTATTTATTTATTTTTTTAAGAATCTCATTGGTCTTGTAAGAAACAGTAAAAAGACCCTATGCTTAAGGAAGCAATCTATCTTCTGTTTTACAGACTTGCTTTTAAATAATTTTTTTTTTCGATTTTACTTCCATGATCTCTTATATGGAACCCCTAGAATCTCGTTAATATAAAAGTCAGCCTAGGCTACCACTTCTCTATAATATGGCTCATGTAGTCCTCAGTGGGCAAGCGTCCTTGCTCTTCGGTCTCTTCCTTGGGAAGCGCTTCATTGGACCGGTGAAGAAGCCTCTCTTCCCGATTCTTTATCCTCTGCTCCATCCTCTCCAGCTGCCGCCGGTACTGGTAGCGCTGCTGGAAGAGGTCCTTTGCATAGTCATAGAGCTGCATGTCCAAGTCGTTGAGCTCCTCGATGCGCCGGATGGTGTCGTTATCCACCTCCACGCCGCCGGCCCGCGTGCTGTTGTACTGCATGAAGGGCCTGATGAATTTCAGGCTAAAAGTTCTCTCAAAGAGGTACTGAGTCTTTCTCTGGAACTCTGTGAGGCCGAAGAAGGCCATGTCTTTGAGGTTCTTTTTTGCACTCTCTAGCAGGATCTGCGCTCGCTTGTTCTCTGGGATGAAGGACATGTTGTAGCAGCCCACCAAGCTCAAGTCGGCCAACATCCTCACCTGGCGGTTGTTGGCCAAATTGTATGGGCAATCCATGAACTCCTGCAGCGTGCAGCCCGACCAGTCCGTGCCCTCGTAGCACGACGGCAGCTCTTCAGGAGTGGGGGTCCTGCCGTCACACATGTGCAAGGATGTCTTCCACGTAGCCCCTCGCTGGACGTGCCGCCATTCGCTGAGGTAACGAGATACGGGGTCTCTCAGCAGGGTGATGTAGTAAAATTTTCTACAAGAAGAAGAGAAAATACAGTAATTATTCTGCTAGTAACAAGAGACACTTGGCAGGCTGAAGTCTGCAGCAGGCATCAAAGAACAAGAGAAAATCAACACTGCAGTGTCCACTTTTGGATTATTTTCTTCTTGTAATTTCTATTGTTAAGTAGTTTGCACAACATTTGGCCCATGATTCTGTTTCTCATTGCCCACTGTTGTAGCCATGCCAAGTAACAACTCTTTCACTAGGAATCATAGAATCACAGAATGGTTAAGGTTGGAAGGGACCTCTAGGTCCAACCCCCCTGCACACGCAGGGTCACCTAGACCACATGGCACAGGACTGCGTCCAAGCGGGTTTGAAGATCTCCGAAGAAGGAGACTCCACAACCTCTCTGGGCAGCCTGTTCCAGTGCTCTGGCACCCTCACTGTTAAGAAATTTTTCTTTAAGTTCCTGTGGAACTTCTGGTGTTTCAGTTTCTGGCCGTTTCCTCTAGTCCTATCAGTGGCCACCACTGAAAAGAGGCCGGCCCCATCTTCCTCACTGCCTCCCTTGAGGTACTTCTAGACACTGCTCAGGTCCCCTCTCAGCCTTCTCTTCTCCAGCTGAACAGGCCCAGCTCCCTCAGTCTCTCCTCATAGGGCAGATGTTCCAGGCCCCTGATCATCCTTGTAGCCCTGTGCTGGACTCTCTCCAGCAGCTCCACATCCCTCTTGTACTGTAGGGCCCAGAACTGGACACAGTTCTCCAGATGTGGACATCATTTTCTAGCAACAGGCTGTAATGTCAGAACAAACCCTCCAAATTCAACTGTTCTACCTAGAAAGGGAAGGCACAAGATAACAGCAACTAGAAATAGTTTGTGCTGATTTCAGCTGACGCATGATCAATTCAAATAAAAAAAACCCTTCCACATATGAGACTGAAAAGAGCAGAAAAGGAAGACTATGAGGCACAACGTGCAGCGTGGCGCAGGACGTCCTTGCATCAGCGGCAGCCGCTCCAGCAGCCCTTCTCCTTCATCACCCTCCATAGTTTAGCACCGCGGAGCCTCGCGATATTTCCAGGACAAGGAAATACATTTTTCAGTTGCTGAAGTAGGTGGGGAATTAAATCCAAACGTGCTCGAAGCTCCTGGGCCTGCATGACCTTGTGCAGGAGCACCTAGCTGTGAGGGGGTAGCACACCCGGGCCAAGGCTGTGTCCAGGGGGTGACACTGGGACCATTTCCCCGCAGAAAAGGCACCTCTGCCCTTTTGCTGCCCAGTGTGTCCACAGGAGAGGGCAGGATGGAGGGAGCAGAGAGAAACACCCCCTTAAATGCACCTCTTTTCCCATCACATACATTGCAGCCTGCAATAAGGATCCAACTACCCAGACTGAGATGCAGCTCTCACTTATACAGACAGTGCTAAGAAACCTCTAGCAGATGGAGATAAAATGTGACAGCGGAAGGAAGAGGAAAGCCATGATGAACGCCAGATGTTCAAGTGACAGATGCTGACGGTAACCACTACCAACATTTTTGGGCCTGTGAACTGTAGTGGACATTTTATTTACATCAGTGTAATCCAAAGGTTATATTTTTTTTCCTGAAACACATTCAAGCCATATATTTATGTGGTTTAGAGAAGCATCTAGAAGTTTCACCTAAAATCAGAGACTCATTTGTCAGACATCCAAAGACATTGGTCATTCCTGTCCAAACCTGCAGTCTACATGAGTA